GCAAACAATATCAACTTCTGGAACTGAAAGTGACAAGAGGTTTTGCATTTGTCTCTTTCAAATTTATCTCAAGGACAGTTTCTCTCTCTCAGGTTGGAGAGAAGTGAATGCAGGTAATAGCACAGAGATGTTTTTTCACGATGAAATAGGTGTAAGGTGTTTTGAGGGACTTCCACACTAATTTAGAAGTCTTCCAACCCCAGATTCCAAAGTACACAGATAAGCAGCATGATCTATATAGGGCTTACTTTGCACAATTAGTTTTCCTGTGAAGGCAATACAAGCAGAAGGAGAAACATTTCTGGAAGCAGTCAATGATTTGTCTACAGATAAAAATGAACTGACATTTTAACAGCAACACTGCCATTCCACTTGAAAGACTTCCTGTACACCAGCTTGCTTGAGTTGGGCAATGGAATATTCCTGAAGGCCAAAAATTCAATCAGTGGGAAAATCTGGATTGTTTTCTTTGAATTGGTCAGTCCCCTGAATATCATCAAGCCATAGAATTGTGCAGGACTGCCTATCAACAGAAACAGATCATAGAATCATAGATGGTTTGGGTTGGTTCCAACCCCCCTGCCATGGGCAGGGACAGCTACTACTAGACCAGGTTGCTGGAAGCCCCATCCAGCCTGGCCTTGAACACCTCCAGGGATGGGGCATCCACAACTTCCCTGGGCAATCTGTTCCAGTGCCTCACCACCCTTAGAGTAAGGAATTTCTTCCTAATAGCTAATCTAAATCCACCCTCTTTCAGTTTAAAACCATTACCACTTGTCCTATCACTACACTCCTCAATAAAGAGTCCCTCCCCATCTTTCCTGTAGGCCCCCTTTAAATATTGAAAGGCCGCAGTGAGGTGTCCCTGGAGCCTTCTCTTCTCCAGGCTAAACAACCTCAGCTCTCTCAGCCTGTCTTCATAGAGGAGGTGCTCCAGCCCTCTGATCATCTTTGTGGCCCTCCTCTGGACTCATTCCAGCAGCTCCATGTCCTTCTTATATTGGGGGCCCCAAGAGCTGGATGCAGTACTCTGTGTGGGATCTCACGAGAGTGGAGTAGAGGTGCAGAATCACCTCCTGATCTAGAATGAGAATTTACTTTCCATAGTTTTGAAAAAACTGGGGCATTGTCCAAACGTTTTCCTGGTCAAGAAAATTCAAACACTGCCTTCTTTGCTCAGTTTTTCGTCCCACTGTATTCAGCCTAAGTTATAACATGTTGTTTCCAAGAAACATGTACTTCAATTCATAAATGTGCATGCAACGCTACAGAAAACTAAAATTAGTATTTATTATACAAAGTTAACATAAAACCCAAACAAAGATGGGTTGGAAAATGAACAATAAAATTATGAGCTCTGTCTAAATTAGTATTCAGTGCAAAGAAAGGCTTCTATCTAACTTTTGCAGATAATAAAGGAGAGAAAAACAAAACACAGCGACAAAATTCAGCAACTAGTTCTCCCAGTTCATACAGTTTCTTCAATAATTATTGGTAGGACTGGACACTGATCCGCTAATCCAGAGAGCCATTGTTGATCAATATATTCAAACAAAAGGCAAGAAGTCCTGAGTTAGGTCCTGATCAAAAGAACACGAGCAAGGGAACAAGACACATAATTTCACCAGCTAGGGCAAAGCACTTAAAGAATGAAAGCATTCCTTCCAATTCTTCAGTGATAAGAAAGTCTCTGCAAGGAAGGTATCTAGCATTTCTCCATCATTAGATGGACCCTACAAAGCTCTTCTAACACTCATTGCTACCTGCAAAATTCTAGACGTCTTGAAAAGAAATTGTATTGCCTTTACGTTAGAACAGGTAAGTTTCCGGTATGACAATCAAGAGTTTCTTTTTAGGCTTAACATAAACACTGCTGTGCCCCCAAGAGGAGAACACTAAATTCACCCAACATAATCCAAGATCCATTTTGTTCTCAGGCTTCATTTTTTACTGGATGTCAAAGTTTTTATGGTTTCTGGAGCGACTTTACATACAGGGATAACTTGCAGATTCATGGGAAGTTTTAAAAATTAGCACTGATATCTGAATCACAAAATAGTTCCAAACTCACACGGATTCTGCTACTGTTACAGTACAGCCCCATCGTCCAAAAGAAAGATACGCTTTGCAGAAGGATGAAATGAGTCAGTAAGTTCACACTTGGGTGCGTTGGAGCTGAGAACACTTCCCTAGAAAGCTTTGCTTCTCAGCCCTTCCCAACTGAATTCGGTAGATGCTGTTTTCAGTGAATAAAGCTGCTGATCTCCACTGCTTCCACAGCTGAAAAGGCAGGGTTCCCGCCACACGGGCTCTGCACCATCTACAACTTCATGAGTTGAAACCTGTATCTTAAATTGTCCCCTTGGAAATGAGGAGGCAGCCACTGTAAACCATGCTGTGCAGAGATACACACCTGATTATCAACACTGTTGCCAAGTGCACAGACTGCCATTTCTGGGCTAGCTGCAGTTGCCAAGTGGCATGCATGCAGAAAGACTACCGAGGTAATCCAGTCTGGAAGCAACAATGACACGAACTGCTTCACTACAACCACCACTCCAAATTAAAGGCTACAATTACCTGGCACAGTCAACAGCAGATGTTCTTTATTGCCAATTACCTACACCAGCTGAGAGTTCAGCTAAATCATTATCTTTCACCAGAAGGGAACTGACATTGTTTTCAAGCTTCTTTCTCTCACCAAGAAAACATAATTCTAGGACTCTTGACTACCTCTTACATACTGTCCATACAGTCCCTGACTCAAAATTTGACTCTAGCCAGCAAATAAATAAGCTTATATCAAATGAAATAGCTGAAAACCAGAAAAAAGGTTCTATTTAAGAAAAGGAAGCAAACAAACAAACAAACAAAGGCTATTAAAGCAAGTGATTCAATGATTTTAAGGAGACTTTGCTTCCAGAAGTCTTCATATTAAAAATGGAACGGATTTTAGTAAAAATGTATTTTTACCAACTCTCTTCTAAGGTGTTTGTCAGCAACTGTTCCTGGGTGGCCATTTACAGCTATCACATGCTTAAAACTAAAAAGAATAATGAAATCCAGCTCCTTGAAAGAATGCAAGACTCAATAATGCATCTGGAAAAAGGATGCATAATATAGAATATGAAGTACATAGAACTCAGCAGAAAACCAGATTTGCATGGTTCTTTTTATTCAAATGTTCCGAGATTATTATTTTTTTAAAATGTACATATATAGGTGTGTATATATGTGTAATACTTGCCACCTTTGGCAGCTGTTGTTTAATGCCAGCATTCTACATATAAGGTAAACAGGTACTTTTCATAATGAAAACTTGTTTAGTCTGATGAGGGACCTGATATACACAAGCAGATGCTTAGCTCACTAAAGCTGTTTCTGGTCTTTAGTGTTGGGTTTTCTTTCAAACGGTACTACTTTTAGTATTTCGTGACTTTAAGTCATCCAAGATTTGCTACAACTAACAATGCAAACTTTGTCAGAAGTTTGGTTTTTTCATTCTTCCCTTAATTTTCTTCTGTTTTGTTCAATCCTGTCACCTTAAGCCTCAACAGTAGGTTGAAACATCTCTGAATAGAGATGTCTCCATTTGGAGACACTGTGTGTTTCACAACATACGCATCTTTTTTTTTTCAAAAAAAAAAATTGCAGCAAAGCAGGGTTATCCCCTTTTCCAATTTCCAGGCATCAATATAGTCTACAGAACAATATAGTCTACAGAACAAGCATGCCATAATGAGTTCATAACATATCAGCTGAAGAAATAAATGGCAGCTCTCCTGTTAGAGAAACCACAATTGAAGCAGAATAAAGCAACAACAAAAAAAAATACTTCCTCACATATGACACACTTATGCAAAGGATCCATTTATTCCTAAGCAGGCTGGCAAGTACCTCTTGGTGGTCGAGTGGGGAGAGGGAGGAGGAAAGAATTTTAAGCTGGAAACTTTACTGACTGAAAAAGGCACAAAAGACAAAAATATTGAGGCCTTTAGGAAAAAAACAAACCCAAAACCGAGAAAGCATTATGAGAACTATTTTCAAACTGAATGTTTTTTACCGATCAAAATGATTATTTGGTGACAATTATAAAATTGAGTATTAAAGAAGTGACATAAAGTATTCAGGAGCAAATCTCTCTTCAACTAACAAGAAGACTGAAGACTTTAAATGGAAAAAAAATGTTTGAAGAAAAGACATGTTTACCTATTTAGAACCTTACCTTCCAGTGCTTTCACATATACAGTACATAAATTTGGGTGTAGAATCAATAGGAATTCAACCTAGAAAACAGTTCCTTTATTTTTATTAGTACTCCTTATAGTTCAATCTAATCTTTAAGACTGGCAAAAATATTTGTGACAATTATTTCATGTTGAGATTATGGAGTATGTTTCTTTTACAAGATTTGTAAAATACATTCTCATCTGTTTGAATGCAGCTACATCATCACAGAGGAGACAGTGCATATAATTTACAAGATAGATTTGTAGTAAAATTTAGAGACACACAACAACAAACATCTCAATATCTAACTTGGAACCCAGGTGCAAGTTTTTCAAACTGTACATGTATTTTTAAAAAGATACAGCCTTTTAAAATGTTTGTATATTGAAGCATTTTCATTAAGATCAAACACTTATTAAAAACAGTAAAATTATAGCAGCAATATGGGAGAATATCTAAGCCACATGAACATTAATAATTAAAATGAAAACAAATATGAAACATTACACTACTTGGATGTTTGTGTTAAATAACAAGGACCAATTACTTATGCCAAACCATCAAAGAATATGGATTTGTTCAGTATATTGAACTATACAACAGTATTGTTCATCAAAGTTACCGTTTTAAAAGAAGTGTCGAATGCTGACTTCCACCAACACTGTTCTGGAGTGCTTCCTGGAGAACTCACTTGAATCTTTTAGTCCAAGCCCGACTGTGATTTTTTTTGCATCTTTGCTATAGGAACTAAGGATGCTCTTAAATACGGATTCCTTAAAACTAGGCTTATTTTATTTACACTATTCAAAGTTTACTTTTCCTTCCAACAACAAAATGTGCAGGAGGATTTACTACATGCTATACAATGTAAAAATAGACTTTAAAAAGCCAGAACAATGTGAGTAAAACTGTACAATGTTTGTTCCTTGCTCCAGTTCATTGCACTATTAAGTTAAAATGGATGAGTTGTCATGCCCAGAAGACTTACTGGAGGATCAAAAAATCCACGCACATACAGAGGTGGTAAATGCATACTGGTTTAGGTATAGTGCCAAATGCAAAAATACTGAGTTATATCCACTGAAAGCTTCTCATCACAGGAAGGAGCATGGTTAATTCTGACAGGCAGCCCTCTTCATGTAGGACACAGAACTGCAAAAGAACCACAAATACATCTTGATATACATCAGTGAGGTTAGCCTGTATAAAAACTTACTGTGTATAATAAAATACTTAAATGTTGAATTCTACCCTATCAGTAACAAGGTGAAATCTAGAAGTCAGTTGAAAATGGCAATTAAGATATCATTCTCTTCTCAAAAGTTAATTGACACAACCCACTATCTTTAACTAATATTACCCAGAAATGAGTTAACTAAAGGTCATGTCTTAAGCAGTGCTTTTTGAGGTATTCTACTAGAAAACAGAACATAAAATAAACGGTGACACATGCAGTTACATTTTAAAAATATGCAATGACAATTTGAGATTCTAAGTCTACTTTCTACTTCTGGTGCGTGTACTTGAATCATACAGTGAGAAGATAAGACATGTCCTTCACGTGTTTCTCATTCCTGTTTCACACATAAGACACAAACCTCAGAGCAATCCAGCTTTCAAACCAGTGCTAGCACAACACAAAAGCAAATAAAGAAGTCAAAACTTCAAAGGCAAGAGAATAAATATTCTTGTTTTCTGAAATACTTGTGTAATTTAAAAATAGAACCACGCGTAAATTCTTGCTTTATTAAACCAAAAAACTGGGGGTTTTTTTTAAGCCTTTACAAGGTTGAAAGATCAGATATAGAATAGCAAAGCAAGCTGAAAGATAGAAAATTATTCTGCTTTCATGACATCTACATTCAGAAAAAAGCATACAAGAAAAGAATACTAGATATATTTAATGCATTTTACTCAGTAGTAGCGTATGGAATATTATTGCTAGCGCTGTATTTTTATGTCACAATTACTGTTTAAGGACAACTGGAAAAGAACACAAAGCTTAGCAATAAATACATCTTAGAACAGTTTACTGTAAGGATACATCTCATTTCAAAGGCACTTATTTCAGCTATAAATACATACTTATATATTGTTACATATAATAGTTATATTTTAAGAATGTCACAATTATTTACACTTACATGAGTTTTTGAATTAAGGAAAAAAACCCCAACAGTTAACCTTGCAGGGGTACAGAGAATGATTTATTCAGTTTGTGCATCATACTGGTAGTATGTTATATTAACGAATTATCCTAGTACATGAAGTTAAATCTTCAAATTTTGTAAAATCTGGAAGTAAAAACTAATAATCTTGAAACAATGTGTCTAGATGTGATACCAGACATTTTATGATTCTGTGTATATCCACAGCCTAACATTTCATCTATGTCATGGATTTATTCCATAAGTAGCAAAATTAAGGCACCCTTCCTTCCAGCAGATTTCCTCAGATATTCTTCCTTACCCTCATAACATTAAAAACAAGTAATCCCATCATGCCTTCCTCAGCTTCTACTTTAAATTTGCTATGAACTTCATGGCAGTAAGTCCTCCCCATATCATTCCTCTATCCTCATGCCCCCAAACTGATAGGAGCTACTGTAAGAGTATTCACTTGTACGTAAATACAGAAAAGCTATCTGGCCAACTGGATGTTAGCTTTTAAAAGCCAATAGCCTTTTGCTCAATAAAAAAAGTGGTTTCAGTCCTTCTCCTACCTAAAAGCAGTTCCCTACAGTATTTGTGAAGTGCAGTTTTTCTCACAACCCTTCTGTCTTGTGGGGTTGAAATTGGCAATAATTATTTGTGAGGCTAAAGAGACAGACAACATGACTGCATAGAGGCGTCTTCTTCAGAAAGCAGCCTAAACTCGCATACTTCAAGGATTACAGATGCTACTAACTTGTTGCATTATTGTACTTGGGAAATAAATCATAATGCAGAAACACATTACATTACATGCAAGAAGAAAGACTGAAAGCTTCTGTAAAAAAATAAATTAAATTCAATTGATATAGTCAATACAAACATGTTTTCATCTAAGGATATGGTACCTATTCTTAGTGTGACACCTAAGAACAATGCAACTACAAAATATGACAAAGACATCCCCATCTGTGCTCCCTGCTTTACAGCTTAACTTGTGCACCAGAAACTTTGCTGCTTACTTCCTTGTAGAGGTTTTTCAATGGAAACAAACACAATGTTTACAAAGCACATTATATTTGTTAAACCATCAAAAAAGATCAGTAGAAAGATGAGCCCAAACAGCATTTAAATACAGTGAGCTTACTAAACTGCCCGCTTCAGTCCAGAAGTGTGATTTCTAAGATCAAGAATTTCAAAGTGTTGGCAGCAAGCGCATTCCCCACCCTCCTCCAAATCTCAGTTTCTACTTCATAGAATTATAGAATCATTTAGGTTGGAAAAGACCCTTAAGATAATGAAGTTCCACCATTAACCTGCCACTGCCAAGTCCACCACTAAACCATGTTCCTATGTGCCACATCTTTTAAATATCTCCAGGGATGGTGACTCAACCACTGCCCTAGGTAGCCTACTCCAAGGCTTGACAACCCTTTCATTGAAGACTTTTTTCCTAATATCCAGTCTACACCTACACAACTTGAGGACGTTTCCTCTTGTCCTATCACTTGTTACTTAGAAAAGAGACCAACATCCATGATCCCTAGTGGTAACTTGCAATAACAATATTCATACATTAAAAATACATACGGAAAAAAATGTAAGCATAATTGCAAGCGCTTATCAACTTTACATTACCATCTATTTTCATTCTAAATCTGTAAAATAGAATATGAATCATACGCTGGTGGGAGAAGAACTACGATATCCTTGCAAAGCAAATCACTAGGTCCCTCTCATTATTACTAAATTCAGGACGGAAATGTTCACTGAAAAGTAAAAAGAAACAAAACTCCACAAAAGGAAAAATATCCCCTTGAAAATAACTTCGATTGTATCAAGAGCAACATAAAAAGAAAAGGTAAGTTGTTACTCTATTGTACATGACTCTACATGGAATACAAATATCGTCTGGCTTGGGGATCCTTATCTCTGAGGAGGCACTGCCTATGGAATAGAACCAATGGAGAACTAACTGATCACTGAAAAAAGGGACTTACGCAGGAGGACAAAATGATGATATTTTTAACATTTTGGGGGACACAAGGGGGCAGTAGAAATTGGGAAAAGAGGATGCTTTAAAGAAGCAAACACCAGAAATAATTTCAAAAGTAATAATGCTATTCAGAAATGCGCATGGAGTTTTCTTTTTTCCCCTAACATAAAATGAACCAAGTTACATTGGCCTTTTTCACTTTATTATACCGCATTTGTACATCCCATGTTGTGAGGATTTCTACTTCCAGCATTTCAGAAGCATCAGCTGGTTATGAAAATAAGTGCAAGAATGATCCATGGTAACACAGAAGGTCAACAGCAAATCTGGTTGCAGAACTCTCCTTCAAGTTCTAGTCCCATGCCCCTGCTCTGGGCCAAACTGCCTTGCCAAAACAAACTTACTCAATCATTATTAAATGAAGGTATTGGGTATTAGACAGCACACAGGGAGGGAGTCTGTGTGTGTCCTCCTACATGATCCAAATTTAGTCTTTCAGAAATTTCAGAATTATTTTGGCATTTAGTTCAAGATATTCAAGATGGTGACACTTCTACAAAACACCACGAAATTTGGAGGAAATACAAACTTATTTCACTGTCTTTTTGTTTTATCAGAACATCAGTGAATTTGGCAAGATTTCTTGTTAAGTCAACACTTACTACTCACTCTTTTGGTTCCATTAACCATTCTAGGTTCACGGCATTCTTCTCTTTTATTTGTTCCATTATATTATGCCAACAATACTATGGCAACCGTTAGAATCACTTTTTTTCTGATTGTTTAGAATCAAGAGCTGAAGAAAAACTAAGCAGAATTTCAGCAGTAACTAACAATATCTGGGCAAGTTTATTACTAATTCTGTGGACAGCTGTAACATCCACATAAGATTAGCAGGTTGATTTTTTTAATACATTAGACTAAAAAGACAATGCTGCTTTAAAACAATCATTAAGGACCTACTTGTAAGATTTTTTTTTTTTTTCTTTGCTGTGTAAAATGGAATACAGAGCTAGAAAGAAGCTTTTACTTGTGCTGACAAATGCCACACTAACCGGATCTCCCATAGAGCTATACATATCCTATTGTCACATACAATTTACTGCCTGCTTTTTTGTTGTAAGTTTGGAAAAAATGATCCTCAAAGGAACAAGAAGTTAACAGATTTTAACAGAGCTAAGTATCTTTGGTGACATAGTTCATACATTCCAAAGTATCATTTCTTGATTAAATTTTAATAAAAAGAAATGGAATCCATTCAGTGTAAGACAATAGCTGGATCATAGAGTAAACAAATGTAAAATGAATACAATTATCACTATACCATACAGATGATTATTACTGGGTCCAGACCTTGTTACTTTCCCATTTCTTTTGGTGAAAAAATTCTAACCCCTAAATCCTCATAATCATTTTCACCTTGCCAAGACATTTTTAATCTTTCCATTGAAGAGAGCAGAGTCTAACAAGCAGGTCACTCCTTTTATTTTGAAATTCAGAGAGCAGGTTGGACTTTCAGGTACAAAAGATGAGCTGAAAGTTGCTTCAAGTGATTGTTTAAAATCATCATCTAATCTCCGTTTAACAAGCTTTAAAAATAGTTTTCAGACAATAGACAGGTAGCTGGGAATGTTTTGCACCATGCATGAAGCTTCACTGCAGCTTCAAGCCAGAAGTTTTAGTAGCAGAAAGAGAAACAGATTACAACTTCAGAAACAACTGGAAGACTTTGCCCGTTCCACAGAATAAATCTCCATGACAAAGTAACACTGTCAGCCGAGCTATAAATATTTAACATAGTCTAAACACTGTAATACAAAGCATAGTTAAGGCTACATTGAAAGGAAGAGTAAAATTCTGTGCTCACTAGCTTGTGCAACCTCTTGCCATCATGCAAACAGACCCACAGAAGAGTGAGAAAGGCTTACTTCTGTCCAGTAACGAAATCATGGTAGCTGAGGCAAAACTACCCTTTTCTTTCAGTACGAGTGATGTGAGCGAGTTATTACTTTTCATATTCCAATAATTTGTGTTTTACGATTTAGAGGCAACTGTGCTTGTATATGAAGACCTGTTTGATCCAACACATTTAATGTGAGCATGATGTTTTTGTTAATTTTCGCATCTAGCTATTAGAACATCCCTGGTGATTTTACAGTCACGAGCATGCAGATGCAGAGGTAGGAGGGAACCTCAGTATCAAGCTTCCTAGATCATCCTGTCATATGCTCAGCTAATCTACTTTTATAAGCCCTCTACGCAGAAGACTGCTCTGTTTCCCTAGGCAGCCAGTTTCTTCTCAGTATCCTAGTAATCTGAAAGCTTTTCTGGATAGCTACGTATAAAAATAAACAGCAGACACTGTAAAGAGCACTATTCATTCTAACCAGTTTGTACCAGATGTATTATGATGAGAAGCAAACAGCTCTAATTACTGACAACAGTTCATCCTCTTCAGTCAAAGATTCCGTTTCACAAAACTAAAGTTTAGAGCCATCACCATTACAAAAATCCCTTGATCTTGAGCCTAAATGGCTCTCGGCTCATAAGCAAACACATCTGTCTAATATAAGCAGGATTTTCAGAAAGGGTAAGTAAACAATGGAGCAATCAAAGGAATCAATTGAAAGGATCTCTGCATTCTTATTGTATGTGGTAGTTCTGCAACCCTACATGAAACTTAGAAATGAGCCTCTTCCAACAGAAAATCTGTCAGAGCTTCTAGAATACTGCATGGCTCTCCTTTCAGATTTTCTGAAGCAACAGTAACACTAAATTTCATCCATAACTTTAACCTGAAAGTACTTTTAAATTTCTGTGAGATTAGAGTGATTAGAAGTCTGTGTAAGAAATACAAAAACCTTTAAAAATCATATGGAGGAATTAAGTCAAATGATTGTATTTGAAAAAATAGTGAGACTTAGCAAGCATGATACTAAAAGAAGAGAAAAACTTTGCAGCACACGAACATGAAGCAGAACATAACATGCATTTGGGTGGCAAATAAAAAGGCATCCATCATCCTTTTGTACATCCGTTTGTTCAGATCTTGGGAGTCTGATGCATATGCTAAACTTTAAACACTAAGGAGGACGGTACCATTTATATGTCAAGATTACGTAAGAACATAAATATTAATAAGACCTAGGCAAAAATGAAGTCAGAAGAAAAACAATTAGAAGTAATTTAACAACCTGGAAACTACCTGGAACAACTCCTTCAAGCTAAAGCAAGCAGTGATTTTCAATGTCTGACATTCTATTAATATAATCAGTGTATAAATATGGAAAATAAATGCTTAGCACACAAACCTTTTAAATAAAACGTGAGGAAGGTATAACAAATAAATGTAAAAGAAATAATTTTTACTATTGGTCAGAAGGTAACACTTAAAATGAAGCTATAAACACTTTATCTAGTAAACCCATTATTACCATAGGCAGTTTGAATTCTGATTCTGAAAAACCTGTAGAACACAAGTTTTTAACTACGCCCATTTAACTCTGTAAGCCAGGCTGCTCTGTTCCTGCTCATGTCCTTGAGCTATTTGAAAACACATCACATACTTTGCTATATTATACTATCACAAATAAAATAAACACATTTTATTTATGAACTATATGCTCAGAAACCTTGGACAAAATAGAAGAGAATATAAATGAGAAATGTATTTGATAGAAGGGCAACATAATTCATGAATGCTGTAGGAGTACTGCTTTCAAACACACCTTGGATGTCCATGAAGTTAATTTATAATAAAAAAAAATCCCTGCTAAGAAACATACTCACCCTTTAAAATATAGTCTGTTAACAAGCTTGGCACTTTCTCGCTGTCCTCTTTCATGGCATGCAGGACTAAATCATGGAAAAAAAAATAATTCAGATATTTAGTCGTAAAAACAACACTCTCAAAAGAAATACCATGAAGCTGCTTCAACTACTGATAGGGATATTACCACCAGATTATTAAGAAAACTCTTAATTGGAATATGAGAAGATGCAATGAGAGACATCATACCTCTACCTTTCACTTCTGTAATTCTCACTGAACTCCACAGTAGATAGATGCATTAGAGACCCAATTTACGTGGTTAATTATTACTGTAAAATGTCATCAGTCATAACAACAAAAAATGCATCTCTTCCCCATAAAAAAATCTCTCCAAAAGAAATTCACCACATCCAAAACTAAAATATGCTAACAACTGCTGGGGGGGCGGGAATCTTAGGTAGAAAAACTGTGCTATATTACTTAATTCATTTCCTTGATTGTCATCTCAAATCATGGAATAATGACACTTATCTGGAGAAACACTGCTGCGAAAGATCTGATGAAGACGTTGGTGGTTTTTTTTCCCCCTGAAATAGTGACTGTTAGCAACTGTAGCTTAGAAAAATCTTAAATGTATGATTGATTCAACATTTGGCATTAACTTTGAATAATGCCAAAATGCCATTTTTGTGACTTATATCAAGTCAAAATTGTCCATCTTTGCATATTTCTGAAGAAGGAAAACCATTTGGACCAGCTCAACTTGACACACACAAGTTTTTCTGTTACTCCATAAACAAAAACAATGACAATCCTTTATGAAGTGCTCTGGACATGACTGAAAAGAATCAAAATTGCAGAATTATACTGAAAAGCAGTCACAGAAAAACTATGAATTACCAGCTAAGGGTGCCTACTGCAGAAAAATAAAGTGTATTTAATTCCTCTGTAAACATTTCATTTACTCCAGAATTTGTACAATATTTATTTTCTCTTTCCAGGAAACAACCAACAAGCCCTTCACCATCCCTCGTCCACCTGTGGAATCACAGACCTGTGCTGCTGCAAAGTACCTTAAGACGTAGCTAGATCCAAAGCTTTGCACTGAGATCTGATCAAATACATTGACGCACTCTCCCACCTATTTTTAAACTGTTCCTATAAACCTCAAATGAAGGAGATGCCAGTGACTCCCAGGGATGCTCTGCTGTATTCAACCACCTTAATAATTAATTTTTTACAAATACAACCTTATTTTTCATGCAAATTAGAATTAAAAAACAGACCCAAACAAAAACAAAAGAGAGGACTTAGAGTTTATAAAATAATTTTGAGGACATGGCCTAAAAAGATGTAAAAAAAGGGGAATTTAAAGCACTGTCAAAACTCTCTTTGGTTTATACTTCCTAATAATTAAAATTTATTAACCAAAAAAACCCAGAGAAAAGCAGGCTGTTTTAAAGGCAGTCAAGTGCAAACATTAATACATCTACTCATAAGTGTCCTGACAGCCATCCCAACTTTTGAAAGTCATTACAATAACATCAATAAAGCTCAACAAGTTTAAACAAACAGGGGTATATGAGGTAGTATAACACAGTGTTGTCAAATTCCATGACATGCAGTATTTTCCATAAGGCCCACCTGTTGAAATAATGTGAGAACATTTACTTTCTGATACGTGCAAGTTTCTAGCCTCCAGGGTTTCAGAGAACAGCTGAAAACCAAACATACCATGAAGGCTCAGAAAACAAGTAAAAACTGGCCAAAACGCATGGTTAAAAATCATGCAACTTACATACATGCCATAGGTTAAAGGGGAAGGGATAACTGCATGGATTCATTGGTTTTGAGCAGTCACAGTTGGAAATACAAACAGGAAAGGATTGGGTGGAACTTCATATGCTCACTTTTAGTTAATGTTTGAAGATCTTCAACAGATGGGGGTCCATTTTTCTTCTCATAAGGAATGACGGTTGTTAAGTACTGTCAAATGAAAAACAGAGTTATTTGATAGTCCCTTCATGCAATTTATGCTGCTTGCATTTTATTTTGCAAAAGTTGTAGCAATTGAAATTGCTAGCCACAAACATGAGCTTTTCAAAAGACTGTATTTCGTAAGAGATTAAGATTCTACCTTTCCTATCCCACAGCTTTTATCAGAGAAGCCAACTTGGATTTTTTTTTTTTCAAATTATGCAACTACTTTAGAAGTCATGAAGCTAAATGCTAAAAAAAAAGTACTGAAAAAAATTTGAGCTGCTTACAGTAAAAAGTTTATCCATTAGGTTTCTTCCTCAGAGCTTATGCATACCAATAGTAAAATCTTTCCTCTCCTCCCTCCAGAAGTCAACCAGAAACCCTTCATGTATTTAAAGTACTTCTTACAATCAAATAAAAGCTGGAAGAACAACTTTCCCACCACCTCCCCTCAAACAACACTATAAATGCAGAATTGAAACAATTTTTAAACTTGGTCTTAAAAAAAAAGTATAAATATCATGCGAGTGTCACCAGCTGTATCCAAAATGAGTAAGCAATTCTATCTTTCCAGGAAGTACCTTAAAAAAAATAATAAATCATTCCAAGTAAATACTGATGTTGCCTCCAAATAATTTGGGAAACTGGTAACAGTAAGCTTTTTAAAGGATTCCAGAGTACAAATGATAGAGGCTGTGGGAGTGCCTTAAGCAAGGCGTTCGGGTTTGTAGACACGTGCTACCAAGTATTAGGGAACACAAAAAAAATAAATTAAAAAGAATAATCTTTAAACTCTGCTGCATTTGAACAACCTCAAAACAGCCATAGGATTTTCTCAGTGACTGGTTAACTGTTACTAAGAATGTGAAACTTTCCAAGGATTTTGATAGATCAAAGAGCATTGCCTGGTCCAACCTCTGAAAGTGATCTATGGTCCTCTGTGCAAAGAAAATCAAAATGCCCCACAGTTAGGTGAAAATGAAAGCAGAAAACTTTTGCCTTCTGACGTTATACACTTCCAACCAAAAGGAACAAAGTAAGCCAAGTAAACATACAACCCCACCATTTGGATTTTAATTTAAGTTCCCAGTTTTGATAGTTGACTGTGCTAACAGACTGTTTCAAACCAACTCCATTTTTGTTCTATTTACTCTTTACTGAAATCTTCCATTCTTGTCAGCTTTAAAAAAAACCACAACAACAACAAAACAGGCAGAAAGTTTCTTAAATCTTTCAGGATTTCCATACTTGCAGTACAACCAAGACTTATTTTCAAATTCTTGAAGCAACCTTGTTGCTCTTTTATTAAATGCATTTAGGGGACATCTTACTTTGCAGCCTGTATGAATGTATATTCTTCTTAAAGAGGTTAGCATTTCAAAAGTACTGAAATTGCTGGAATTATCCCAAATGAAAAAGCTTCCTGAAATCTCCCTCAATTAAATTTTGAAGAACTTCACAGGAACTTCATTCTGGGTTAACAGCTACAAGGCAGTAGGCAAAGCGACCCTCTCTCTCTCATTCAACTTGAGAGAGATGTGGTTCTCCATGTAACAATCAGAAAACATGTTATATACAAGGTCTCCTTCTCTCCTAGCAGCAGCACTTCAGCAAGAGTCAAGTGCAACTCAGACTCTGGTGAAGAGGTTCACTTTGCAGAAGGAGATTTAGTGTTGCCAGACACAGCTATAATTGTTGCCATCTTTAGAGTGGGATCACGCACCTCATGCCCAACCATATCCTCTGCCTAAATGCCAGATGGCCTCAGTTCTGTGTCGCTTAAGGGAACCTATTGTATAGGATGTACTGACATCTCACCAAGACCTTATGCAAACTCAGGGTGCTTTTCTCCCTCCATTTTCCTTTTGCATTTTCTCAAATCCACTTAGCACAGCAGACCAAAGTATGCAACGCTTCTTAGGAAACAGTCAATTTTCAATTTCTTTTCCAGCAGATGTAACCAACAGGTATCATTAGAGAGTTGCACTCTTACTAAAATTACTGGAATCAATAGCTAGATACAAGGCTGTTAAATCTGCAAATGTCAGAGACAAAAGTAGATCTACTAGCTCAGAAATCAGATCTCAGGCTGTCATTTCCAGCCTTCAGAACTAAACAGCATTCTACCCTTTACCTAGACAATAGATTAGTAGGACACATTTCCCTGGACCAAATATCAATGTTCCCTGTTTTCCTTCTCCTGTAAACCCCACCTTCCAATTAAAAAAAAAAAAACGTAATTTCTTTGTTAGTTTCCAGAAATCATCTTGTTTTTCTCAACAATACTTCCCTGCTGTAGCAGTAAGTCTCTATAATAGCACCATAAAAACTCATTCCCTGAATTGCTGTGTGAAAGATAACATTATGAAAAGGAAGAAAAAATGACTAAAGTGTAGCTTACTGACACACCTAGATGTGAAGTCTACTGTGACCTCTATAGTTTTGAAGCAGATTTGACAATATGGTAAGCAGCAATTCCCACTGCAATCTGTAATCGCTCATAAAAAGTGTGTGACATGCCTGAAAATCAAAATGAAGACAACTATCTTGAATTGTCTTCTGGGAAGACCACCACAGAAAAAGCTATAAACATTTCAATGGCTTTTATGCAGTTGGTGTTGTTTTTTCCAACTGCATTATCAGATAGGAACAGGTAGTTCCCACTGGAAGTTTCTCTCTAAATGTTGAAAAATTCCAAGTCATTTTCACACACACACAAAAAAAGGAATAAATTTTAAAAAGGAAAGCACCCACTATCATAGTAATACTACCCAGAAAATAGTAAAGGTGATAAATATCATTAAAATTAAAGACTGAAAAGAGTTCAGAAATAACTGTACAAACTTGTCATAATCTTTATGTTGTGACTTTATGCGTATGAACTTCTAGATTTAAGGTACACAAAAAATTGTCCTTGCATTTTTTTTGAGCACAACTCCAGACTGTTAACTAACTCTTCCCTATGAGCAGGAAACACCTGCATGTCAGTTTATCATAACAATATACCCTGAAAAAACACTCGAATATTCTGAGAGCAGCACTAAGCAACTAAGCATCTGATATTTTTTTCTCCTTTGCAACTTGCTGCAATAACATGATGATACCAACATTTTAAAAGCAGGGGCTATGCATTCATCCTCCCCCTCTACTCTGCCCTGGTGAGGCCGTATCTGGAGTACTGTCTCCAGTTCTGGGTTCCCCATTCAAGAAGAACAGGGAACTACTGGAGAGAGTCCATCAGAGGGCTACAAAGATGATCAAGGGACTGGAGCACCCCTCTTATGAGGAAAGGCTGAGAAACCTGGGTCTGTTTAGCCTGGAGAAGACAAGACTGAGAGGGGATATCATCAATACTTATAAATATCTAAAGTATCAAGAGGATGGGGCCCGACTCTTTCCAGTGGTGCCCGGCGACAGGACAAGGGGCAACAGGCACAAACTGGAACACAGGAAATTCCATCTCAACATGACGAGAAACTACTTTGAGGGTGACAGAGCACTGGAACAGGCTGCCCAGAGTGTTGGTGAGTCTCCTCTGGAGATATTCAAAACCTGCCTGGATCCATTCCTGTCCAACCTGCTCTAGGTGAACTTGCTTTGACAGGGGAATTGGACTAGATGATCTCTGAAGGTCCTTTCCAACTTCGACCATTCTGTGATTCATGAACTCTCATACATATACCTTGCTTGAGAAAGATGGCAAGTCCATGATTTCTAACCTCATGATTCAGGAATGACTTGAGAGGAGCTGTTTTACCTCCTGAACTCCTCTGCAGGATACTCCAGTCAGCTTGAAGACAAAAGTCTTATCAGCCATGACTTCTAAACTACTGGGCAGTTTATTGCCTCAATGGACGGGGGAGTTTGGAGAGGGGGAAGCAGCGGGAGGGGGAAATGACCAGAAAAAAAATAATCTAATGCACTCGGACACAACTGAACTGCATAAACTATAATGGGTGGGTATGTGTTAAATAAGGCAAAATACCAATATTTTGTTATGTGTGCCAAAAGCCTAAACAATAGCTTAAGCATTAACACTTTAACAAAATACAGAATGCATTTAATAAAATACATACTACAGTTCTGAAACAAACCATTAAGTACTGCTTTGAAACAAAGCATAAGAATCTTGCTACTTAGATGTATGTAACATTTACAGTGATACCCACTGAAGCTGGGTCTCTATGCTGTATATTTCAACATTTAAATAGTCAGCGAAAAGACACAAACTTGTCTATGGCTTATGTATTTTATATCAGTAGTCTGCATTGCACACATCTGGCTGCTTTTAACATCACTCAGTTTCCAAAGGCAAAAAGACATACAATAGAGTCCCTGCATTTTCCAGATGCTACTTTGGTTTTAGATATATCAGCCCCGAACTTTTGAAGAAAAAGAAAGCAAAACCTTTTTTCAGTTGGAGACATTACCCAAGTCATTAATGCTGAAGGCTGAAATGTTATGTCTAACCTGATACCTATTCTTCAATTGGATATTAGATTTTTACAGACATGCAATGTATTTGAAGCATGCATTATGCCAAAACAGACTTTTAGTCTGGGGTAGGTAATCAGTGTTGTTATTTCAGTGCATCAGGATATCAAGTCCTGACTGTCTCAAGCTGCTGAGGAGAGAAAGAGACTGTAGGCTGCTCAGAGTCCTGAGGCAGGGAGAGCACAGATTCCAACATTTTTGTCCATTTTTTTTCCCATCTCAGAATTTATCTTCAACTATTGTCCATTTTCAAGATCTCAGCTCCTACCGAAAGTGCAGGCAAAGAATAAGGAAAAGAGAGAAGAGAGCCCAGCACCTGTTTCTCTCCACCTGAGTTTCCAAACGTGTGGCGGAAGCCATTCTGTATGACATTTGAGATCCCTTCCATGCTGAAGCGCTAAAAGTAGTGAAAACATAGCAGAAAGAAAAAAGGGACAGAGAAAAGTTCAGAAGACTATTAATCGGCATTTATCAAGACTATAAAAGATGAATGACACAGACAAGCTCTAAGATGTATTTCAGCACACTTCTGTTTTTTCATTCACCTACTTAATTTTTATAATTAAAAAGCAAACCTTACAATGGCAGTTACACAGTACATCCACATCAAAATTTAATCAAACAAAATTTTCACACTGCAGACTCAATAACTGAGACTTGTCTTTTAAGGCTGTTTCATTTTGACATGTAAAATGTAGTATTTTTAAAAGTTTATTTCACAGTACAATCTCCTTTCAAACTTGTGTTTGAGCAATATACTTTTAGAGACACTGCTAATACCAATTTTCCTATTTTAAGCACCTATAAGAAACACTATTCAGCAGTAGTAGTTTTCAGCTCTACCTCTTTAAAACATTTTATGCTTTCATGTTTACTTTCCCACAACGGAAACAACAATTAGCTATCAATCTACTGTATTCCCCATTTTTTTTTGGTAATATGACAATATATACACAATTAGTTAATAATGCACCCATACTAAGTTCAAACTCCATTATATGGAATCATGGAATCCAAGTAAAGAAAATTTAATATATAATACAACCACAGCTTTTTTCTTAAACTTTGTAAAAAATTTTGATGTTTAGCATGAGATACAAAAATCAGCAACTGACAAGAACATACAAATATGAAACCGTCAAGCTGCTGACACAGGGCAGTAAGATGCACTCACCTCAGCACACTTACCTGAATGCATTTATTTATGGGAGGGGGAATAAAATGTGCTGGAATACAGTATTCATTTGCTTTCTAAAGCACGATGAGGTCAGTAAACAGACACAGACGTTGCCAAAGCCATCTTAACTCTTTTAAGATATCCTACTTAAATGAACTGGTATCTTCAAGCCCTGACTATTTTTAATTACTCCCCAGTTCGTCCTTTCCAGAGATGTAAAAGTTTTAGAAGTTTAAGAAAGTGATTTATCCAAAGCATCTACCAAAGACAAAGAACTAAACCCTCTATTTATTAAAATTAAATTGTAGTATCTACAGGAGGATTTCTTTTCTTAGACTATGAAATTTAACCCTACTTCAAGCTTTGTGTTTAAATGAGACTTCATTACAGTTTTAGTTAACAAAATTATTAATTTATACATTATTTATTAACAGAAACTCACTCGTCACAAAGCTACTTAAACATACTATCTTTATGCACATTCTCAGCACTTTCTTAGAAAAAAGATAAAACAAGAAAAAAAAGTGCAGAAGGAAGGAAGCTTGCACCTCTTTCTGGGACAAGGCTCTCAAATCTGTACTTGGTGATAGTGAAAGCAATTTTCAAAGGACACACATATACACCCTACAGTCTTATATTGGAGCTAGTTTGTTCAATCCTTCTCAGAAAGCAATCTGACACATCTATATCTTGAAGCAACCAAATATGAAAATAACTTATATTGGGACCACATGTAGTTATACTTGAAAGCATCATTCAAGTCTCTAAAATTGAAACTAACCAAATAGCTTAGGAATCACTTGACTCAAGTTTCAAAACCAAATAATGAGTTTTCTTTCTAGTTAGAATTTGAACTTTTTATTGTGCTCTTGCAAAGGGATATATACTTTCTTAGTAGGAAAAAAGGACATATACTTTCTTAAGAGTTCCATTAAAACTTACCTATCTACACAAAAGATGACTTTTCATTAGACAGACAAGATCAGAACTCCATTGATTTATATCACTGGTATCTTATCCTTCTAAGTTTAGAAATAGATTCTGAAGAATTAATGTTTCATTACAAATGTTTATTTCTTACGCTTGAAAAAACAAACCCCAAACCTTCTGATGTCAACCTGAAGCATTCTTTCTGGAACTTAGCCAAGATCTACAATACATTAACCACATTTTCTGCATCCTAGAAGAGACGCTTAGAAATTCTAACATTAATATTCCATTCAAGTAATTTAAAACTATAGTAGACAGATAAGAAAGAAATAAATTGCACTGACAAGGTAATAACCTAACTTCTTTCATTCTCTGCCTTCTATTATTTAAACCGCATTTGAAAGACATTTTTACTTTTGTTGCTATGTTCTGTTAAGAATAAACCAAATTATCTCCTCCCTGTACACCTGCACTACACTTTGGCCTCACCCCTGTCTCTTGTTGGATGTAGTAACACTGCCACAAGTTTCAAGAGATTGAGGGTAAGACTTTTACTTTTTTCCTACCTAAAAACCAACATGATCAATAAATGTCTGTACAACTACAACAGTAACACTGAATTTGCTGTAAAATTAACAGTGGTACATGCATACTAAAATTCACACAGTGAAACCAAACGGATAAATGAGTTTGCCTACTGACAACAGAACACACCGTACATCCAAAGACAGTATTTTTTGTGACTTTGTGAAAAAACTAATCTCAATAGGAATGCCTAAGGCTTGTCTGCAAATGAAGGCATGGAAGCAGTTGTACCAGGTATCTTGATATAATCTACAACTACTACTTCCCACAGGAAAAAAACAAAAAATATTTTAAATCTATAAATAGTTACAAAAATTTTCTTACTGTTCCAGGCATATGACCTCTTTCTTGTTTGCCGTTCTGAGGACTACCATTTTTCAGCTTCTTTTTCTTCTTTGCTGTTTCTTTGTGTTCTCTCTGCTTGTTCTGTACTTCAATTAGGACAGAAATGAAGCTGTTTTTCACTTCTTTCTCAAACTCCAACTCATCTCGTAGAGCCAACTGCTGTACCAGTTCCTCAGAATAATCCTTAATAGCAGTCTCAATTTCTTCTAGCAGTTCATTTAACTCAGCAACAGACAATCTTTTTACTCCTATAAATAATTCATATAAAAAGTAATTCGTCAATATTTAAAGCATGAGAACACTCATGGGAATTACAAGAAAAAAGTACTCTGAAATTTTTCAAAACAAAAATTTCAATTCTAAAAACTACACAGAACAAAACAATATTCCTAAAGGAATAAACACATCACAGAGGCAACTACATTTTCAACAAGAAGACCGTCGAACTTTCTTCTTATTTCTGAGAAATCTGAAATAACCTGCAAATATGAAGAGCATGTTGTGGTTAAGGAAGCTGAAGTAAGCGCTAAAATTCTAATACCGACACCTCTGTTAACTATTACTTTCCATCTACACTCACTGTTTAAAATAAAAGTTCTGCGTATTTTCTGACACAACAATCGACACTGGCATTTCTGGAATCCTTGGATTTTTTACGTACAGTAATACAGGAAATCATATTTTATGAGTGAGGGAATTTTCTTAGGGATATTGGTAAGGTATGCATGCATATTAATAAAAGCTTGCACCAAAGTTTTATGATAAGATTTTTAGATGCATTTAGTAGAAAAACCAACAAAATACTCCAAATTTTCTTTGTCTGGAGATTGTAATCAAAAGCATGGTCTTGTATTGCCCGGAACAAGGACCTACATCAAAACTAACTGACAGACTTATTTCAAGCAAAGAAAAGCATTATTAGTTTTGAGAAAGCATGAGACTGAATTGGTCATTGCTAAACTAGAAGCCTATAAAATGTCAGTTTGGAAACAAAAAAACCTTCCAAGTTTGCATTTTAAAGGTACTGTTGGGTCATGTGTTACAGACAGTGAAGTTATGACCAAGAAGAATGTTCTGAGGCTTGCTTGGGCTAAAAGTGAGCACATTCTTTAAGAACTGTATTCAATTCCCAATTAACTCTGACACACCTAGGAAGTTAGTCCAGCAGCTGCTATGTCAAGGAACATAATTTTCATTGGCATTTAAGAAACGGCTAGTCTTGGTTACACTGAAGAGTGCAATCTGTTTAAGGACATTGCATAGATGTTTGGAATTATTTAGTTACATTGAATTAGTCTAGTAAACGTTATGTCTAAAAAACCTTAAGTTTTTAAGTGAAAGTGTCTACGTACAAGCATTGAAAAACACAGATAAGGCCACAAACTACAAAAAAGTATAGGTCTTTAGAAGCATCAAAGGTAAAATGTGATTTTCTCTCTTAAAGTACAGCAGGGAAAACTGATTGGAGAAAGCTCCTTGTCACTCATTTAACTAAAGAAAAACCAATGAAACCTGTTAAGGCAATTGTGTGGCAAGGAGCCACAGTTTTTCAGAGCAGCTTAGGTCTTAAACTCTATCCAAACACTGTAACAGTACTATATGGTTAAGGATCTAAGTTTCAAGTAGTTTGAACCCTTCATCACCTATACTGTTGCTTAAACTATTCTAAGTATGCAGCACGCAGGTTACAGCCTCTGCTTGTAACACACATGTAGTCTGTGCTCACAGTCGGTGCACATACCACAGAAGGTCTTACCACAGCAATAACTTTTTGCAAAGTCAACTCTGGTTGTCAGCAACAGCAAACAGCAACATCAACTCAAACATAAGCAGGGGGAAGAACAGTAAATTCAGCAACAAGATTATCTGGTGCTCTGTGGGTGCAAGTCGCAGAACAGGCCTTACAGTCTGTGAAACTGCATATACTCTGCGGTAAAAATTAATGTGAGTAAGTTCCATATGCAGTACTATAAAGGACAATCTAAAAAGCATAGGTTGCACCACTGTTCTGTTTTTGTGAAAGACAAGTAAACAAAGCACCAGTGAGTCCCAACACTTAAGAACCAGCTTCACAGCCTAAAAAACAATTGTTCCAAAAACACAGGTGCAGATTATCCAACTGCAATCCTAATTTGTTTATGGCAGGTCAGCTGTTGTGATCAAAGCCTACAAAAGGGCTACACAGGAACTACTCAGCTGACACAGGTGAGTGAAGACAGAGTAATTCAAATGCAGAAGACTACTTGGAGTAAATCTTAGATATGTAGGCTAAAGGACTTACCTATGTAACCAGAGCTGTAACTGGTTTTATTTTTGGCCTGTCTTAATACATGTCTTTTCCTAGCCAAGACAAAAGTAAATACAAGCTTTGATTTCCTGCTCTCAATCCTAAAAATTAACACCTCTGACTCATCTTATAAAAGCCAGACAGTTTTTAGGAAAACCCTGCAACAAATTCAGAGAGATGCAGACTAATTCTGAAGCAGCTTCATGCAGAAAAAAAGGAAGCAAGAGCTTTTCATAAAATAGTGACCTGAAACACATGAAAGCAGATTCTGAGAAACTGGTGAAGCAAAGTTAAATTATCTGCCACAGTAACTCAAGGCATCATTTGGTCAAGGCCGACCTTTAAACCATGAAGATGCAACAGACAAGATGAACTCCTGAGGCAAAGCAAAATAAATATGATATGAAATACCAAGCAAGCTTGATTAGATCCAAACCTAAAGACATATGGAACTGTCAGAAAAGCAGGAAGCCCTGCTGTGCAGGGTAACTTTGCTTTCATATTCCTGAAATTTATGTGTTGAGACAGCTAAGAGTCCAACCATGAAAATGGAATCTCCTCCATAAATCTGAAGTGTAGCAGAAACTGGAAGTCATGTCACAAAAGGTCAGCCAGTTTTCTGAATCTCCTACAGAATTTACATTGCTGACCTAGACTACAGGAAAGAAAACACCAAACTTTGTGAGAGGGACCAGAGCAGAAGGAACATATAGTAAATACTCTTTGTGTTCCTGTCACCTTCTAGAATTGATTTTGGCAAGCACACAGATCAAATGAATTTCCATCATGAAACTGATTAATCACAGGTTTCTTTTACATACAATTCAATCTATGACAATGAACCTACATATGACATTTCTCCTTTCCTTTTGTATAGGGAAGAACAGATTATTTCATTTGAGTAGAAGAAGATACAAAAGTTTTGGGTTTTTTTTAACTTTTAAGCTTTTTGAAGAGCAATGGATGGGGAGGAAAGAAAAATATGCAAGAAAAATATGGGAAAAAAAAGCAAGAGTTGCCTTATTTTTGTGTTACTGTATATCAAGATCTGTTGTAGTGACTGAAACAGTACCAAAGAAACACTGTTTGCTTTATTTACTGCATAGCTTTCAAGACCTTTAGCTAATCTTCTTTAACACAGTGTACTGGCCTCAAGAAAGTGCCTCACTTTAGAATATAGAAATTAATAAAGTTTAATAAAAATGATCGACTTATCACTTTACCTTTGAAGGGACCTCATTCCAGTGAAACAAGCTTCAGCATATTTGCTTTAATATGAAATTCTATAAAGTTTTATTTTTGTTCTAAGTTATAAAAGCTGGCAAAGGTAAGTCATCTATTTATGTTCTAAATCTAGTTTATTCTTTCAGGGCATTTTGAAAATATTTTTGAATGCAGGTATTTCATAAGAAGGACTTGCTATAAATCAAACATGGCAAACTTACCCTTTAAACTATTTTCAATAAGCATAATACTAAATAAATATCACTTACTCTCTTCATAGCTGTTGTTTGTACTGGATCTCTTGAGCGTCTGAATTTCCTGGGAAAGTATGGAGAGCCGATCTGATTGAGTGGGTGTTTCATCATCTTCTGGATCAGGTGATTCCTGCATCATTTCCTCTATTTCTTCAATCACCTTCAAAAAATGAAAACACTTATGAAGACCCTCCTGCATGAAGAGAAACAGCCTGCAATTTAAAGCAAAGCTGTGAAGAGCTTAAGGTTTGGGTTTTTTTTTACTTTAAATTAGCAAAGATGCTGCTGCTGGATAAAACTAATACCAAGACTAGATTGAGGAGAATCAACAAAATCATATTGATGTTTCCTCCCCATCCCTGCACTCTAAGAATAAGTCTACCTTTTCAAGGTAAATTGGTGATCTCATAACAAGCAGTATGTTGAAACTACACAGTTATTTCTACAAGAAGGTACACATGGTTCTGCTTAAGAGAACTGAAATAAAGAATGATCAGGAATATCTTTCCCAACTATTCTGTTGAAGGAAAACAAAACAACAACAAAAAAAATCAATTACACGCCCACTCCCACCCCTCATTTCACTGTGCTTCTCTAAGCAAAAAAAAAAAAAAAAAGCTCTGAATAACCTGAAAATCTACTGTGCTTATGACAATTTTTATGAATAGATACATCATAACCTGAAGCTGATTTGTATCCCTGGGTGTAAGATCTGAGTGAGACCGAAAGTAGGAGAACAGAAATCCTGCATAATAAGCTTACTTTTTGGTATAGAAATGACCATATTTCTACAGGCTAAGCTGAATGGCTGAATAAATAACACATCAACTTTTGCAGATTTAAAGGCTGAACACATTGCTGGGATCCACCTCGCAGTAAAAAAGAGCTGAGGCAGTTCAAGTAAACCTGTCTCTTGTACTCTTAATAACCATGTTCAGAGTCCACAGGCAACCACTTAAGCAACAAGAAAATACAGTCTTGCATTTACTTACTCAAGAAGGATCTTAATGGACAGTCATTAACCTTACTGAGAAGAGCAATTTTCAAGATAACTTAAGTAAATCCATGGATTTGAAAGAGAAGCCTTTAGACACTAAGTAATTTGAAAGCTTCATAGCAGAACTGTTGATCTGCTCTCATATTAGGCAAAAACTTCAAAGAATTCTTGCTAACCACACAGCCATGGGAAGATACGAATGGCGACACAGTCATGCTGGAAAACTATGAACTCTACAACACCACCAACATTCTGAAAATATTTCTGCTTCTTAACATATATATTTAATTTTGTAGTATTTCTGACTAATTCACGGTAAGAAATGTATAAAGATTTCAAAGACCCTGCACTATCAACCTCACCTGAAGCACTGGAATACTTTTCAAATCTGAATGATGTAGTAATATTTCACACATTTCAAGACCATTAAAGAACAATCAAGAAGCACAAGAAAGAAGAACAAAAAATAATCACAGATGAAAAGAAAATACTACACCAAGCAACAATGTCTTTGCCGAACACTTTACCTGCTCTGCTGTGAAAAGTGGTTCATCATTGATGCAGGAAACAATGATAGAATGCATATCCAGTTGTTCTCTCAGCTCTTCGTCATCTGACAGGTCAAGGTTCAAGTTATCATTTACCTAGAAAGAACGACAATGTGCATTTATATAAATATATATACACATTTGTGTGTGTATATATCTATAAAATACATGTGCATACACAAAAACCAAGAGGGGAACTAACACTGAATTTTAAGAACGAAACAGATTCCTTGACCGTAATAACAGAATCAATGATTCTTGCTGTCAAATACCTGGAAACTGAAGTACCTTAACAACTGAAATCAAAACTGCAATTGGAGAAAGTTAAAATAGCTGTCAGTTTTTACAGTCTTTAAATACCCTCAGCATATAAAGACCATACACACAATGACATGCAGATTATCTGCACAGAAGACAGTCAGTACAATGTAGATACTTAAATCTTAAATGCAGACAGACACTTGTCAGTGTGGGGTGCAAATCGACCTGTAATCTCTAACATTACACAAACCTGTTATTTTAAAATGCTTTTATAGTTCTACTTTTTCACACGATAAAAGACACAAAAAAAGTTGTTTTGAAAAACAGAACATGGTTATCACTGCAGATTATTTTAAAATTATATTGTTGAATATCTCAGGCTCTTTTCAAAAAGAAAAAGATGTAATGCTGTTCCCACACATACACCATCAAATTACACTCATCCTTCAAACCCAAAGATGTACATATAGTAAAAGAAAAGATTTAAGTCCCCTCCTTAATCAGTCAGGTATACTTTACTCTCACATAGCGATATATTCTAGTTTATTTACAAAGTTATTTGTTTTTTCTGCACTTTGTGTATTACTAGATTCCAGCCATACCAACCTAAAAAAGCCTCCCAGCCTCCAAAAGCTGCAACCCCTAACGTTTTGAGCTCAATCTCTTTAACTGATATTTGAGTTAATTTACAAGCCTTATGACTAGCTGTATAAAGTCCTTGGTCTCACCATACCAGATTTCAATTTTTATTGCAATTCCTCCAATTTTCCCACTTTCTTCAGAAACCTTATAGTTTTCAGATTAATTTTGAAGATGCTACTGATATCCCCAGATAGCTAGTCTATAGGGGAAAACACAACATTCATATTTTTTCAGCAATCAGAATGAAGTTAAATGTCCACTTTTTTTCAGAATATGAGATCCAACAACCATGCAGTGACAGGGCTCCACTAAGAATATCTGTTCAGCTACCGCACAGGTACATCCCAGTTTTCACACTAATGTCTGCAGTCCTCAAATGTTTTTCCAGGTATATAGGATTAAGACAACTATGGGATAGTAAGCAAGGATAACAGTTTACTAGAAGGTCAGCTTCCCCTCCTGACACCTCCAGAAACAGTATTCTGACAGTCACTCAGAATATATTCTGATAATTTAGGCTAATAAACTACCTAAACCAATGCAAGCTACAGCTGATACCAAAAGGACCACCTGGCCTTCCACCCAGCCACACTCCATGCCCGTTTGTGTCCTCACACTCCTACCAGGGAATGACCCGTTTAAAAGGAATCTAACAAAAATATAATAAACAAGCAATTATGCAATCCTGTTCCTTGTACCAATGTACAACACTTCTACCCAACTACTTCTTTCACCATCAGAGCCGTATAAAAGATCACAGATCTGTGATGTGCAGCAACAAAGATTAGATGAATCAGCCTCATTCACCTTACATTTTTTTCCTACTAAAACAGGAAGAGAAATACTTTAAGCACAAATCCAACAGCATATTATTAGTTTCAAACGCACCAAGGAAGTGTTGCTTAGCTGTTAGTATTCACTGTAAGAAAGCTAAAACAAGCTACTAGCTGGTCCATATGTGCTGTCAAATATCCAGAAATACTTCTGAAACACAGAGAAGTAGAAAAAAAAGTATGTCAAATGCTCCCTAACAGATGGGCTTTACACATCAAAAGCCATGCCAGGTGGAGTGAAAGCTGAAAAAACTTGAGATACGTTTAATCCAGAAACTGATTTTCCCTCTACTGGCAGCATACCTAAGATTCTTTCTAATCCATCAACACCACTTTAGATTTTCTTATGTAGTTCCTTCGTAACTTCCTTCAAAGAACTTACAAAACATTTGTTTATATTATAGCTAGTCCCTTATCAATAAATCCATCAGTCTTCCAGTCCATTTTTCAGTCACACAACAAGGTCACGGCATGGGGGTTGGAAGCCTTTTTACTTTAAATGTAAGGATTGAGTTACTCTAAAACCACTTAGAAAAACTGAACAAGCGTTCGAAAGCACAAGTCAAATTCAAGGGATAATCATCAGACTCAAATCGAGAAAGTGAGTTCCAAACTGCCATCTTCCCCTGCTGAACCCCAAAGTATACTCTTCATCAGAACGATCTTTGTTCCTGTCCCAGTAAAAAGTAGCTGTGAATTATATAATGGATGGCAGAAGTCAAAGTGTTACCCTATTCTCAGGTCACACAGAGATATTTTTACAACATAACTCAACTTCACTAAGTTTAAAAGATAAGCCACTCTTTTCCTCAGAAGACATGGAAGATGGGAATTCTTCCTAGCTTTTTTCCTGAAGCATTTTAATCTACTTTTAAGAAGATCAGAGGACAACCCTTTCTATAAACCTCTCTGAAGCTCTTCGTTCCGTACTCCCTCCCCAGACAGCTATTCTACTTGTTAAGGAAGAGAAACAAAACAAAACAAACTCTTGCACTTCAGTGTCTCCTGGGTCACCTTTCCTGTAAAAGAAGCCACTTGAGTTTCCACCCGATTGCAGAATGAGATGAAATTAAAAATAGTCCACACTGGATTTACTACATTAGAATGCTCCCGCCTCTTTTCCTTCCTCACGCAGAATAGTGTTCAACATGAAACAGACAGTACAAAGATTTTATGTGAAACACACTCTCATTTTACAAATTTTTCTAACATGCTCTGGCTCATGAGCTTCCATCTAAAACTAACCCTGAATTATTCCACCCCAAGGAGATGTAAACATATATCAAACATCCTTGATTTTTTTGATTTTTAAAAACCTCTTATGTATTGTACCAAGCACTAAAAATATTTTAAGCCATTTAATAAAAACACTCTTTTATACAAATGCAAATTATTTTATTTCCCTGCTGAGTATAAGACTCAAAGAGCATATTTCTGCTGATCAGAACTTACCCCTTTTTCTGAAAGATTCAGTGTTGGCAAGTGCAAAGCTCTGGTGTGGGAAGATTTCCAGTCAACAGGCATTACGTTACCATAATTATCAGTCAGAGCATTCCAAATCCTGGAGAGAGGAATAAAGGAACAAAAATGCAGGCTTTAAACCAAGCAGCAACTGATCACCAGTGAACATACTTGTAATGATACTATATTTCTATCAACAATTATTTTTTCCTCCCTAAATATTCATCTGCAAGTTACTGACAATATTTTTGTAATGTTTTGAAGCTAAGAGAAAACTTTTTTTGATAAACATAATTTATTTCCCTGTTTAAACCAACAATGTACACACAGCAGTGAAATAAAACAACGTAATGAAGAGGCAGCTTTATTACTAATTATATAATCAGACTCAGAATCTTTTCAGGGGGTGAATGAGTCCTTCCTTTAATGAAATTTGAGCTCAGCTATAAACTCCTTTCCTAGTGTTGTTCCTGTTTTCCTTGCCTTTTGCACGTTAAAATTGGGAATTAGCAAAGGCTGAATAGCAAATTCTGAGCCAAACTTACTTACTTTCTTACTTTTTTTCTTACTTTTTTTCTATTTATCACGCACAAATGAACATGCACAACTTATACTAAAATTCTGCAAGAATTTCATTTCATCCAGAAGTACTCTTGCAGAGCTTGACCCACCACTCTTGTCTACAGTTGCTCTTGATTATGTCTACAGCATACAGCCTCTCTGGCTGTACTATAGGCTTTGCGTATGCAGCCCTGTTCCAGTATACCAGTTCAGATTTTGAAACAGAGCAGCCCTGTTAGCAGGTTGCTGCCTCAAGTCAGCTAACAAACCCTGCCTTTAAGAGCTATGCTGTGGGTGCATGTTTGGAGTGGTTGCCTAGCTAGGCCCAGAGGAATGGCTGAGCCAGACACAGAAGGGCAGACAGAGCCTCGTCACTGCGCACCATGTCTCTGATTCATGGTTCTCTGAACTCACCTCACCGTTTGTACCTTTATACCGTAGATATCTAGTCTTTTGCTAACAGTATTTTTTTTTTCTCTTAGAATGAAACATACTATTTAGTTAGCTCAACGTAAAGAACTACAGTATTTTTAATGAAGATAAGCTCATGGAAATTTACTGTGAAAAAACAGGTATAAATAGCTGTAAAATAATGTTAAAAACAGAAAGGTTGCACAGATCAGAAAGTGCTATTGCTCAAAAAAAAACCCCCAAAACATCCCAAACTAAAAAAACCCAATAACCATAGTTGCAACTGAGATTCTGTTCCCCATCTGCTTTCCATGTTTAATTTCAAATACCAAAACAGCGGTCATTTTACGAGAGGCTAAACAAATATCACCCTCTGTCACTCTGCATTTCAGAGCAGCAACTTTTCCTCCCCCCGGAGGCAGGAGGCACCGGGATGCCCACACGCCTCCCCGGCCGGCAGGGGAACAAAACCTGACGGCTCGGTGTCAGACCAGCGCCGGCGGCCCGGCAGGGCCCTGCGGGCGGGGAAGAGCTTCACTTGCCGCAGCCCACAAGCCCTGACCGGGGCTTGGCGAGAGGAAGGCCCGGGCCAGAAGGCCCTGGGATAGCAGCACTATGTTTTGTAATACTATAGTAAGACCAACCTTCTGCTGGCAAGGACGTATCACCCACAGACTGCATCTCAAATAACTGGTGATAGACATCTGGATAATTGCAAAAAGTCTGTTTTTCATAGGCCACTTCTACACTATAAACAAAGACTTGCCATTTGTTAAAGAAAGGTTTGTTGCTGGCTTCTCTTTTTTCCACCTAAGAGCTTGCTCTGGAGCACATTAAAGTCAGTTTCTGTCCTTCAATTTCATCTAAAGCTTCATAAGTAATAAGTCACCAAAGAGTTTAGCTTAGCCTGGAGACAGAGGTATATTAAACCCCAGCTTGCTTTCTCTTTAGGGAGAGTCGCTAAACTATGCAGCAGGTTTTTAGTTGCTGGGGTTTTTTTTTGGTTTGTCTTCTCCAATGAAGTACTTTCTCCAGTCACTTCTAAATTTTCACCACTACAACAAGTTAATAGATTTTGTCACAAACACACAGGTTCATTTTTCCCTTCAGACCATTTCTCTTGATCAAAAGTTCTGATTTTTTTTGTTATTATTCTTATTTCATATTTCTTTGCATGGAGGAAACAGAAATATACCAAAAAAAAAAGCACATGAAATTTGCATTGTAGATCAGCTCAAGTACGCTGTCCAGAAAACACAGAAGACAAGTATTTCTTTATAACAACTTCAGCGTCGCTTCGCGCCGCTTCGCTGGGTTTCCTTCTGCGCAAGGAAGGTGGCATGGCACAGGGCCTGAGGCAGCCGCTTTTGAGGCAGCTGAGTAGGGGCAGCTCAGCAGGGAGGGGAAAGGGGAAGGAGGAGTATTTGCAATAATTTAATTGTAACCTGGTAACCGAGGGATGGGGGGCTTTTTGACTGTCGTTTTCCCCTCCATTCAGCGACTCAACACATACAAAACTAAGTTTTGGAGATAACTTGGTTCTTATTAGCACAGTCGCTCCCGTGGCCACCCTTCGCTAGCTTTATACTGTTTCCTTATGTGTGATGGCTTATGATTGGCTTTTTTAATCTAGTACTTTTTTGAGCCACAGTAAACTTTTGATATGCCAAAGTATGTATCAGGAATTTTCTCTGCTTACCTTAATGAATTTGGTTTGAGCCTCCTTTAAGTTTCTTTTCCTACTTCCTCCTGTTTGGAAAGACAGAGCAAGTAGAAAATTCATTCCTTCTTGAGCATCTGCGTGCCACTGAGGTAATTTAAAGACTTTTGTCCTGTCCTACCCAGCTACAACTTTTTCAAGCTGCCAGGCCCTAGGATACGTAGGCATTCTAATATGATCCCTCTGACACTGGGTGTAGGACAGAGGACACCAGGACTGCTTTGAGTGTTCAAATGTGGATGCAACATTGTTTTATACAGTAGCGCAGTGATGTTTTCTGTTCCATTCTGATGAAAAAGCAAAGTGTTTGCAGGCAGAATTTAAGGATGCTCTTCTAGAGGACATAGTCTTGGGAAGGAGCAAAAATGCTGGAACAGGTAACTAGCAAGGAGGAGGAAATTACTGGGAATTCAGCATATAAGTGTGACGGGATGCACAAAAATACCAATGTATCCTAGTCAAAGTCAATTATGGTCTCTGCTGTAACTATTACTACTTGGGGATTCAGATTCTTGCAGCTAGCTCTGCAAGAACATTAACTCAGTGGTCAGTAGCAATCCAAACAGTAAGTATGATGCTAGATCCAGGGTGTACCATGCTTGAACAATGTGGACATTTTCAGTCCCTTTACCCTTGATCTCTAAAGGATGTAATAGAATGGGAAGTACAAAGAATGGCAAGGCTGGCCAGAAGGTGTGGAACTGCTCCCAGATAATTGCATCTTGGGCTTTTCAGCACAGAAAAAATTGAAAGATACAGATCTCTAAATTAATGGGTGGCATATAGATACTGATCCACTGCTGTTTTGAATGCAGAAAGTCAAGGATATCAAATGAAACCATCAAGAGGGTTGGTTCAGAGAAAGAAAAGGAAGCAGTTTTTCACAGAGCAAGTAATTAAGCTGAAAATATTGCTTCAGGAAGTTAATACCAGCACTTTACATCAAGTCCATTAATTTACAAATTAATAAAAGAAAAACCATTATAGGCTAATAGGTAAATAAATGATCTGTGGCTCAGGAAGTCCATGAAGTGCAAATTCTGATTCCACACACTTTCTATAGGACCTCATGTTAGAGTCCCATATAATTGATTATGGCTTTCTGTCAGGTAGGACTAGACCACATGGATTCAATGGCAGGGCAATGGCCTAACTTTGCATTTGAGAGATTGATCAGTTTCAGTATGCTGAAAGCATTTGGAATTCCACAAATCTCTCTAATGTGAAAATTCTTTAGTGTAAAAGTCAGAATTTTCTGCAAACTGTTCTTTACCCACAGTATGTTCTGAACTGTTCTGATCTAAAGTCAGCAGGACAATAATATGAATTCCTACTCCCAGGGAAAAAACCTCACCACAGTATCAATCTATAA